CTGCTTGGAGTCAGCGGAGCGGTCTTTTTCTAAGGCTTGGATGAGGACGCGCATTCGGTCCTTCTCCCCGTACGCGAATTGGCGGTAGAACTCGGTCCATCCACTTCGTCGACGAGCATTTATGAACCAAAGGGTGCACTGCTCCGCATTCATACGCTTTGCTTTGGGCATGGCTGCCATTTCCCTCACGAGAGCCTCCTTGGTCGTGGCGTTGACGAAGGGGTCGTGCAAATTCTCACGATACCATCTTCGAAGAGGGACTGCGTTGAGCCTCCAGTCTAAGCTGACACTCGAAGCCAGTCCGTCCTTCGTACGTGCAACAACGCCTCTCGGGGCTCTGGTGGCCACATGGTCGTCACTACCGCACTGTGTTCTCGCTGCCCTGTCAGTAGAGCCAACCTCAAGCTCGAGCTCACAATCTCGGGCGAGAGCAGACCCTATGCGGGATAGGTCTGTCTCGCACTCGAAAAAGAAGCTCGAAATCCGTTCCACACGGCTTACGATGGCGGCGATACTTGACCGCTCCTCGTGCGTGAGGGTGGAAAGGTCACCCATCGAGTGCAGTAGTGCCGTGTAGGTATCAGTAAGTTCTGCAAGAGCCTGCGCGTCGGGATAGGAATCTAAGAGGCATTCTTCGATGGCCTTCAAGGAAGGCAGTAGATCCCGCTCTTTGCGGACCTGGGAGACGTCTGCCATGGCAACCAATTCTCGTGGCCTCTTCGCCGCCTGCCCTAGCGATAATGGAGTTCTTCAGAGCGCTGCCGACGTATACGAGATGATTGCAAGAAGGAAGCTGAAGTCGCCACCTCCGACAATCAGGAAACCGGTAGAGAGGGTCGATGGCGCAAGAGCGGTGAGGCAGTCAACGTCCCAGAAAGAGTCTGCAAGGGCTAGCGCATAGGTTGCTGCTTATGTGCTCCTGCAACGTTCAGCAACGAGAGACGCACTTCAACGTTGCTCAACGAAAATTGTAGAGATTCCAGAAAGGTTACTTGCTCCTTGCCGAGGGAGGTTATTCAACTGTTGATGAAGTGCAAGAGGATGGCAATTGAGGATGCGCGCACTAGAAGTTTCTCGCAAGGGCGTAAGTTGTCACTTGTCATAGGTCCAGACCTTAGCGCGACTGAACAGTATGTAGTAGTCAAGAGCCTTTCTCAAGTCGGAGTGAGGGCCCCGATCAAGTATTGGGAATCGCGGAGCTCGACCAACCCGCGAGGACAAAGGAAACGCTCATCGCGTGATGCACATGAGCTGCAGTCACCACAATTTTGAGTCGTGAGCTAATCAAGAATAGCAAGCACATCTGCACCCATTTGACATCATTCTAATAGCCACTCGTTTTAGGTGTCGAGATATGCAAACTTTATAATTCACAATTAAAACGAAGAATGCGCGCTGCAGCTCAGGCGTGCAACGCGCGACAAAGGGACAACGACGCGCAACTTAATTGTTGCATGCTGCTGATTGCGAGAGCAGTGTCCGTGTGCAGACCGCGGTGCGGGGGTACAGTCAAGAGCATATCAGACCTGATGCATGGTTCACCCAAGGCTCAACCGTGAATGTTGTGCCTGCGTGATCGTGATCATAAGCTTGGGATCGACAAGCATATGGAAGCAGCAAATCAAAGGGCTAAACTCGGCATCTACCTCATCTCCGTACTTCAACTTCCCCTTTTCCAGCGAAGGGTTCTTTCGCAGGGTGTAGCCACTCTTGACTCCCGTCGCATTCGTCGCCATCAAGGTAGGACTTCGTATACGCGCCGACCCCCCTCCAAACTGCCTGGCGCCCACTCGCTCTCAGAATCGCTCCTCTCGCCACGCCCATTAGCGAGTTCTCCATCTCTAATCCGTTTCCCTGTCGCTACAAGGTCTGCAGGCCGCTGTCGAGGATAAAAGGAAGCTGCTCAGGCCGAGAGTCGCCACAGAGCCGTTCGCGCAATGGCCTCGGAACGGGCATTCCTCCCGCCGTCTTCAGCGCGAACGTCGCGCAACGCAGTGTCGCCTGGCAGCCAAACGGAGTCGTTCAAGCTCATTGAGCACACAGCTCGCTCGCTCTTGAGAGAATTCGGCGCAGCTCCTCTATCTGACGGGGGCGGCTCTGTTATTTTCCCAACTCCTACACCCCTTAAGCGCATAGATCGGGAACAGCTTCTTTCAAGTCTTTTCTTAGGCAGATTTCCTCTATCAGCCGACTTACGCAGGGGCCTTGAAGACACCTTCGCTCAAGTCTGTGACTCTTGGACTGAGTTCATCCAGCGACGCTACACGGACCTCCATCGACAACTTGCCGGCCTGACAGCTTCAGACCCTTCGTGGTCAAGGTCCCTCCACGCTGCTCATACCCGTAAACACGCGGAAGGGCTGCAAGCAATTTCTGATCGCCTTATCGAATGCGTCAGCCAACAAGTTTCGCGTTTCAACGATGATGCCCTTGCTGCAAGACAAAAGCAAACCGTGCCGACAGAGTCTGCTAGTTCAGAGAGCCACCCTTCACACGGACACTCCTCCGCTGCGACCGCTTTGCTAGAGAGAGCGTTCGAGCGTGCCCATTCTATCACGATGGCAGAAAAACATCGTCTAGCCGCAGCTACGGGCCTCGAACCACGCCAAGTTACCATATGGGTGAGTTTTTTCCAGTGCCAGAGCTGATCTCGCAGTTGGTGGAAGTTGCTGCAGACGAGCCGCGCACGTTCATCAGGCGCACGGCAAGGACAGAGAGAGAGAAAGCCGCATCTGAAGTGCACGAAGCAGCCTTCACGACAATGCTCGCGCTTCTAGACGTGCTCACGCAGCCGCTGTGGAAGGCTATTCATAAGTCGTCACCCCCTGACTCGTGCTCACCTCCCTGCCCTTTCGCAACGATTCAGTTCCAAAATCGTCGAAATCGCAAGACGAAGCAAGGAACTCACAAGTACCACCGTGGTGGAGAAGTGGCAGAAGTACTCAAAATGGAGCAGGACTCCGAGCATGACTGCCGGACAAGAAGTTTCACGCCGGCTCTTATGAACAAGCGAAAAGGGACGACGATACCGGTACAGCTGCGCTGGTCATCCGAGCTGCACTTTAAACGACAACGACTCTTCGATGGAAGCGCACAGGGAATGAAGACCACTGGGAGCGACGACTCGAGCGTCGCAGACAGCTTTGGCTCTTGGGACGCAGACAGCATCGCTCCTCAGCAGCGCTACCCATCTGGTGCTTCGAGCTTGGGCACGACGGTCGACAATTGCAGTAGCCCGAGCACACCTCCCGATGGATGGAACCGTGAGTCCTCGCCAGACACAAGAACAAGCCATCACACGGGTTCTTTGAGCTACGCTGCGTCACCAGTGACAGGGCAGCTTTCCCTGCCAACGAGCTCAATCAAGGGCTTTGAGCAGCAGCATCCCCAGCTCAGCAGCAATGTGGCGTTGTCAACAAAGCCCTCTCAAGACTTTGCCAGCGAGCAAAGCGTGAACAATGCCTTGCTCTTCGATGCGTATGGAGTCGCTCAGCTGGATTGGGACGACCTCTGCCTGGATGTGCACCTCTCCGCTGCGTTCGACGCCACAGGTGATGCTCTGCATTCGAGACTTTTCACGCCAGATCTCGGACGTCAGCATTCTAATCCTGTCAATTCGTTTGGCCATATGAGGCAGGGAGGCTCTCAGCATGTCAGTGTGGCACAGGGTGCCGCCATCGACCCGTCAGCAAACACGATTGGCGCCGTTATTATGAATTGGCCTAGCGCGCCTGACATTGCGTCGCAGATGGCAATGGGTCTGAGTGTCGAGTCAACACAAGACATGCTTGTTGTGGCGGAGGGACCCGAGCAGATGGATATCAGCGAGGAACATAAACCAGAGATGGTGCTTTCGGTGCCGATGCCCGACAGCATCTTGATCAAGAACAGTAGCAGCTCTGGTGCTTTCCAGCTCACGTCAGAGTCATTCGCCTCTTTAGAGAGCTGGACTCACGATCATTCGTCGCTGGACCACATCATCGATCAGTGGAGCAAACGACTGGCGGAGCAGCACGCGAATCCTCCACTGGGAACCGCAGACACGAATACACCGAGGACTGGTCCTGCTCAAGCAGAGAAGACTGCACACAGCCAGCAGCTCCTGGCTGCACATCGCTTGTCCGATGTGATGATGACATAGCTGATACGAGAGGAGGGGTGATCAGGACGTTGGTCGTACTCAACGAATGTGGAGGTCTGTCTGTCTACCGAACGCTCTAAAGGAGAGTTCTCTGTATCGGTCCCGGTCCTCCATTCTTCGCTCTATGCCTCATGTAGTATTACCCACGATACCGGTTTCTTTTGCTTTGCCGACCATGCGAATCCTCTCAACTGGCTTTGCACATTGCGTGAGCTTGCTGCTGAGCATCAGCCTCGGCTTCCTTTTGGCTTCGTCCACGACGCCCCATGCCTTTGTCCCAATCACCGCGACTTGTACACACGCTCGGGCCGCGTGACCTCTTCGAAGTGAGGCCTGAACTCGCTTCATAATCTCTGGCGTTCAGATCTGCGATATACAAAACGTGCTTTGCTGGCTCTTCGAACAAAGGGCCAGCAGAGTAGAGGCTCCGCGCGCGCGTCCACGCACAACTTGAGTGTCACGCTGTGGTCGGATGTCTACACAGATGAAGGCCCATTCGCGCTTCGCGCTTCGGCGTCCGGATGGTCGATCAGCTTTGGCGGGCCTCTTTTGTCCGCAATTGCGCCCTCGTGAACCTGATGCGAGAGCGTCTGCTGCCTCATTTCGACAACGCAATTGAGACCCGCATTTCACCAATTCTGAGCCCATGAGACCATTGCGTCGAGCGGGCAGCAAAAGGCGTCTACTGGCATTCTGCCCTCAGCAAGCACAGAGGAAGTCACGCAGAGGTCGATTAGCGCGAAGGGCAATTGCGAATCGCGGATTGGTACCTGTGCAGTACCCAGTACGGTAGGTACCGTACCGCGACGCATGCGCGACCGATCACCGTACGCATCAGGCAAATCGATTTGATCGTGAATGAAGGCCATTATAGGCCTTGAGAGCATGCATTATGGAGGTTTATGACGTCACTCATGCACATCGTGCATGCAGAGAAGCGTGTCGAAGAACAAGCATCAAAATTGGATCAATCATCGAAGATTGGCATCAGTTCTGGCAACCATAGTCCAATGTCCATGCATCTTTGTAGTCGTTGTTGTCCACCCATTCTTCTGGGTCGACAAACTCAAGATCAGCAATTCTGCAACGTCCGGTGCGTCCTTGACGCTCTGCTGCAGCACGATCTTGGTTCTCGCGGTCGGCAAGCAGCTGAGAGAGAGTGAAGACGTTGTTGCGCGAGACGCGCATCGCAAGACGAGAGCCTCTTGTGCTGCGGCTTGCTCTCTCTGCTGCTGCTTCTCTCAATTGCTTGTTCTCTTGTCGCAGAAGGACATTATCGCTCTGCGCAATGTTCAGCTGCGACGCTAGATCTTGAAGGGGTGCACTTATTGCTGCTCGCTGCGCTCTCTGCGACTTCCCTTGACTCAACTGGAGAATCTCACCTGACACCCTACAAACGTCCAATGGAGTGCTCGGGATCGATTGTTGAGGCGTGGGAAGAGAAGCTCTTAAAGGCGTCAAAGGCGTCTGCGAACTTGAGGCTTGCGTCGATCCTTGTGAGTCTTGATTCTGCGCATCGTCGAAGTGCTTAAGCAGTCGTCTGGCATCAATCTTTGTCTCTGCAATGCCGCACGCAGAGAACGCCTGAGACACCAAATGCCATGTAATGATGCGTCTTCAGACGTCTGCGTAGATCGCTAAGAACGTTGGCGCTTGCATTCTCCTTGTGCCGGCCAGTAAGTGAAGCTCGAGACGTTCTTTGAAGAGAGCCTTGATCTTTGCAAAGACAACTACATCGAGGGGCTGCAGCCATGATGTTGTGTTCAGTGGAAGAACAATGACTGCGATCTTGCGATTGTACGCTGCTTGGAAAAAATCAAGCGTCGTGTGTGACGCATGCCCGTCCAAGATGAGGCACCGCCATTCTGACCCTGCTCGTGTTGCCTCATCAAAGACTGCTAGCCATTCTAAGATCGATTGAGTTGTCTGGTAACCGCTCTCTGCCAGCATCACCCGCAGATCTCCATAGTTGCAATCATTAAAGACTTCTGAAGAGAAGAGTGTCTTGCACCTGAGCAGAATGACCAGTGGGCACGCACCAGGAGATTCTCTGGAGTTACGTACGCATTCGATCACTGTGATGTTCTCCATCTTCTCTCCAGTGATGCGCCTTGCATTTGGGTTTGAGACAGTGTCAGTGATGACTAAGGTTCGGTGATGCTAGTTGAGAGAGAACCCAGTCTCATCCATATTATAGATGTCCTTAAAGGGGATGCTATGCTCTGCCAGCGTCTCAGCAAGCAAAGCAAACCACGCCTCAGCATTCTCTTGATTGAATGCTTGCGTCTTCGCCTCTGACGTCTTTGAGCACAGCATGCGTGCTAAGTCCACTTGACAATGTAGAAAGCGATTGACCCAGCGTCGACTTAGATCTGCATCCGGGTTACAGGTGTGTGCCCTGTAGAGAGCAATCGCACACCTATGAACCTCTTTGGGACGCAGAGGACACCGTCGCTTGGCAAAGGTGATGCACGTACGCACCAAAAGAGCCTCAATCTCTGGTGGCAGTGCTTGGAGATTAGCACGGCTTTCCAGGAAGCTTTGTCCCCCGTTCTTGCGTTGAATGAGCATTGTCTTAGACACCCCAAACTCCGTTGCTATTGCCTTCAATGAGGTTCGCTCGCCAGCAAGCTGCTTGCGCTCATATTCTTCCAGCGCCTCTTCCAGCAGAAAATCGGTAGCGCGCCGCTGCCCGTTGCGATGGGCTCTCTGCTCTGCCTGACGGTTCCCACGAGGCATGGTGATGGTTAGGTGCCGTGCTGAGGGCGTGCGATTTTTTTCTGAGGCGCAAGAGCAAGATTTGGAGAGGTGAGCACTTCTTGTCAAAAGTCAATGAGAACGCGACGCGTTTCCTCATAAACACTCACTTGGGTCTAGACTATTGAAATTCTTGGCGATGCGGTCTGAAACACGCAAATGCAAGACCAGGAGGGTGTAGAGGGGATTGAGAGGGACTCAGAAATGTGAAGATCACGATTTTAGAGCAAGATCTGATGGTGGTAGGAGAGATGGAAGATGGATGCGATTGTCAAGTGAAAAATGCGTCAATCAAGATGAAGAGGTTGCGCATGTGTCACGGTCGGTCACCTGTTGCGGTACGGTACATGGAGAGTTTAGAGTATCGTTTTGGGAAGATGGATGGCTGCATGTCTGCCTGCATCTTGCTCAAAGCTGGCAACCCTTCACTTCCCCTTTATACTCACACTCGCCAACTCGCGACTACGCTGCCTGCTTGCTGATGTGGAGGTCACTCTGATGACTCTTGACTGTATGAGGCTGGATTGCAGGATGGCAACAGCAACACGTGACTCGACGCGTCGCGCTTCACACACCGTCACGAAGAGCGAATCGTGAATGTGGATCAGAATGTTGAATGATAACACGAATCACGAACGAGCGCAAGTCAAGTCGAGTCGAGTCAAAGAGAGTTTGAATCACAATCACGAATGACAGGCGTAAATTGCGAAGCGGTGGGGTCAGGAGTCAGGAGTCAGCAGGATGGGTGCATGGCTTCGGAGT